GGGCTCAGGGTGGACCGTACCAGAACCCAAGGGTCTGGCTCAAGAGCAGGGATGGGGAAATCATCTCTCACCATGTTCCTGGTTCTTCACACCCACCCCCAAGGTGTCTGTGTAGCTGGGTATGGACAGTCTGGTAGGAATGAGATCCTGCAGCTGCTCCCACCACCAACACTGCAGGTGAAGGAGACCCAGGTGGGTGTCACAGCCAAGGTGGCACCAGATCTCTCTGTCCTCCTCGGCCTGGTGCCTTCAGAGACTGATCTGGGCTGGGCTTCACAGTTATTACCTTGTGTCTGTTGCTCTGACAAGGGCTTGGCCAGGTTTTGAGCAGCTTTGTTCGAAAGGTAAAGCCTGTAAGGGACCCAGCTGCTGTCTGGATGAGGTGGCGCAGGTTGGCACACCTGTCGTGTAATCCTGCTGCTCTGTGGGCAGCTCGTGCTGTGAAAACTTCATCTCCTGAGGTGGGAGTGAAGGCCTTTCATTGCGAAATAGGACAGATGAGGACACCAAGGCAAAGGACTTGCTGAAATGTCTGAACCTGGGGGGGACAAACTCCTGAACAGCGAGGTGGGCCCTTGGGTGGGTGAAATCTGCAGGGAAGTGGAAGGTAGTGTTTGATCGCAGAAAGCTCCTGAGCCAAACTTGCACGGGAGGCAACAAACCAGACAGAGCTCTTGGCAGGAGCTTTCTCCAGTTAGGTTTGTTTTGTTTCTTTTTTTCCTCTAACTATTATGAGATCCTTCAATCCTATAGCTGCTGTTGAAATAGACGTTACTGGACAGGCAAGAGCTTTACCATTGTGTGTCTGTCGGGGTTTTTTTGTGGTAACCGAACACACCAAGTTCTGCACCATGAAGCGTGAAGAAATGACTTTGCCTCTGATTTCTAGGGCCTGCGTCCGGAGAGAGATTTCAAGGTGGAATGTGGTGGATTTTCAAACCGCCCAGTGCACAGCCTGAAACATGTGCCTGACACCAGGTATGGCTGCGAGGTCCTTCCCAGGGCATATTGGAGATGGAGAAGGGAGCATGTCTGCTGCAAGAGAGCTCCTTTTCCTCGCCTGCTTCCCAGCCCAGCTGGTCAGTCCTTCCAGCATGAGTCTGGGTGGGGAGTTGCTGCCCAGTGGTCCTCCCAGAACCATGTCTTGGTGTTTGGAGAGGAGGCGCCTGTCAGGGTGCTCAGCGAAACAGAGCACACCTTGCTGCTCCGGTGCCAAAAGCCGCCGCAGTGTGTCTTGTGGGGCAACTGGCAGGGAAACTGAGAAATGGAGAAATGGAATCTTCATCTTCCTCCAAAATTGAGCGGCGGGGGCTGCTGACATTATGCTTGCTCAGCAGGGATCCTTCCCTCTACCCCACTTCTGGGCCTGTACAGCTTCCTTGCTCTGCCCTTTCCTTCCCTTCTGCATTCAGCGCTGCGAAGAGGAGCTGAGCAGGCAGAGCAGGATGCTGGTGGCTCCTGTGTCTGCAAGATCATAAGGTTTGGGTTGGTTGGTTTTTTTTCTCCTGCTGTGGATTGTAGACCAAGCAAACACACTTCCCTCTGGCTGATTCATTTCACTTGCTCAGCTCTCTGCTCCTACACAAGCCCCCATTGCTTCTTCGGGGCTCTTTGCACCGGTGTTAGTCTAGTGGTTTTGGAAAACGTGCTAATTAAACGCTGTTGCGTGGGACTGTCTTTGCCTGGGCTGTGTGGAGCACCCTGGCCTCAAGAGTTCTGCATTTCTGCTCCTTATGGCCTCTTCTCTGCTCCAAGTGGAGGCAAGAGGTCCTGAGCACAGGAGGAGCAGCAGGCCGGTTTGTCCCAGGCCAGGGTTAAAAAGGCTCTTCTCAGCTCCTAAAGAGTTCCGTGGGGTTCTTTTTGTTTCCTCAGCTTGTTGGTGACGAGTGGCCCACCAGACAGCTCCCTCCAGGTCTGGCAGGTGTCAGCAGAGGACTCCGGTAAGGGAACGTGTTTCTGAGTGTGAGTGTAATTTCTCAGTGTCTCATAGAATCATTAAGATTAGAAAAGACCTCGAAGATCATCTAGTTCAGCTGTCAACCCAGCACTACCATGACCATCAAACCATGTCCCCTCCAGGGATGGCGACTCTGCCACTGCCCTGGGCAGCCTGTTCCAATGCTTCACCACTCTTTTAGTAAAGAAATTTTTCCTAATTTCCAATCTAAAGCTCCCCTGGTGCAACTTGAGCCTATTTCCTCTTGTCCTATCATTAGCAATTTGGGAGAAAAGATCAACACCCACCTCACTACAACCTTCTGTCAGGGAGTTGTAGAGAGCAATGAGGTCTTCCCTCAGCCTCCTTTTCTCCAGGCTGAACAACCCCAGGTCCCTCAGCCACTCTTCATAAAACTTGTCCTCTAGACCCCTCACCAGCTTCATTGCTTCATCTGCTCTTGTGAAATACTTTGAAACCACCAGAAAGGAAATGCAAAACGCTACTAGAAGTTTTCTTCTTCTTCTTTGAAAATAAATATCTCGACTCGCAACTTCCCGTACATTTTGCTAGATTTTTAAATGGTTTGTTGGCAATCCTCTCCAAGTGTCTTGGAAAGAGTAGTTTTTTTCTGGAGAAGGAGGTTAGACATAATTGGATTTCTTATCGGTTTAGCAGGTTGCTTTGCGAAGTATCTTTCTGAAACGGCTTAATCTTGGGGATTACTTAACTCCTGATGTCTTTTACGTCTGCTTACATCTCTTTCAAACAGATGTTATTAAATCTGTAAGTGCCATAACCACAGAAAATGGCACTGGGCAACCTTGGGCTAAAATTGCAACCATTTCGACCAGAGCCCCATGGGTCCTTCACGGCTCGAGACTGGACAACGTTCAAGTTACAGAGGTTGAATCAAGGAAAAATGTCTATATGTCAGGTATTCAAATGAAAGGTGTTGGGGTTTAGGTAAAGCAAAGGTAGCTGCTCAAGTGACAAACGTTTCGTTGGGTGGGTACTTCCAGACATATGACAACGGGTATAAAGATATTTTCAGGAAGCTCATTGTCCTGAGGGAAGAGGTTACAATGCTCTGGTCCATCTCCAGCTACTCGTTACTCCTGTGACGAGGATTTCTCAGGCTTCTGCCCTGCTTCCAGGGACAAGGGGTAACATCTGCTTTCTCTGGCAAGGTTGTGATGGAGAAATCGCATGAATGCTCTTTGCAGCATCTTGAGATCTGCCTCTTTGATTTTTTTTTTTTTATTTCTAGCCTCCAAAACCAGCGAGGAGCTCAGTGGCCTGGCCTTCCTGG